TTTGATTATGAATATAAGCAATGTAAAATATCATTTTATAATAAGTATTTACATACTTATTAGGGATTAATTGTATAATGACTATAACATGTATATTTCCAAATATTTCTGTAGTGTTGGACTGAATGTATGTCCTGGGCTACAAAAATGAAGGAAAGTGCCACCTAGAGGCAGCACTGGATTGCAGGCATTTGACGGCTGAATCTGAAACCAAAGAAGCTGATACGGAGTATAGTCACTGTTAAGTCAATATAATATATTGGCAAAATGTTGAATAAGGCTTAGCTTTTTAAATTAACTTTAATCCTTGATTATTTCCAGAACTGACTTCAGTATTCATCTAGTTTAACCAACTCACTTTGCAAATCAGGAAACTGAAATTCAGAACTGTTACAGGATTGTCCCAAGATTGCCCTGTAGTAAATGAGAGAGCTGGGCTGGCACCAAGTTCCTCACTCTTTCTCGAAAGTAATTAATCCCATTCATTTGGAAAATGTGCTAGACAAAACAGTATCAAAAATGTGTGAAAGTATTGTTCTACAGTGTATAAAATAATTTTGAGGTTTGAAAATTACTGTATATCTTTTCTTTATAAGCCAAAGAGGCTGCAAACAATAAACGAGTTTTTATAATACATTTTCTAAACTGTAATATTTTTATAAGAATATAAGTGTGACTTTCATAAAGTCTAACTTATGGCTCTTGAAATGTGTTTAATTGGCAATAAGCCTTTTCAAGATACAGAAGATACAGTCCCTTTCCACTAAAGTCTAATTAAATTATCTGTGTCTTTAATGCAAACATTCATTCTTTTGTATAAAAAAATCTATTGAAAAGGAAGATGTAGTTTAATACCAAGCATAGGCTGAATATGGAAGTACACATTGATTTTTAAAATCTCATTCTAACATGGTAGAATCTTTTCTGGGTCAGAGTAACAGAATACAAACTAAATGTTAGAAATAAAGAATGTATTTACTATTTATTGAGCTACTCTTTACGAAGTTTTATGTTAGACACTTTTAATACTTTATTTCACTTTAATTTTATTGCAGAAAATTTGATTTCACACAACTAACTTTCACCAAATCCCTTTAAAACAAGCATAAAGAGATTTTGTAGAAAATTAAACACATAGAAACCCAAGAAAGAGAGAACAGGATCAAAGATAACAAAAAAAAATTGTGGAAACTGTAAAGCAATTGGTTGATTACTGAAAAATTTAGCAGACTGAGAAAAACTAAGTCCTAAGGCCAACAGTGGAGAAAGCTGAGAACTGTCTGGAATTATACTACAGAATCCCCAACAGTCTCAGAAACTGGGATTTCCAGGTACTTCTGGATGTGGGTGAAAAGAATAAGGAAAACTGGCAAGTATGTTTAGAATGCAGCCAGACCCTTAGATTCATCTTCCCACTCTCCTCAGCTGGGACACTTTCCCTCCCCAGTCCTGACAAAAGACTGGAGGTTTATTCTCTGGGGAAGGTTAAACAAGTCTCTGGACTGGAAGACACTCAGATAATTAAATGAAGAGCTCCCAGAAAACAAAAATGATAGCAGCAATAAAAAACTAAATAGTAGGGCTTCCCTGGTGGCGCAGTGGTTAAGAATCTGCCTGCCAATGCAGGGGACACCTGTTCGTGCCCTGGTCTGGGAAGATCCCACATGCCGCGGAGCAACTAAGCCCATGAGCCACAACTACTGAGCCTGCGCGTCTGGAGCCTGTGCTCCGCAACGGTAAAGGCCGCGACAGTGAGAGGCCAGCGCACCGCAATCAAGAGTGGCCCCCGCTCACCGCAACTGGAGAAAGCCCTCGCACAGCAACGAAGACCCAACACAGCCAAATATAAATTAATTAATTTTTTTTAAAAAACTAAATAGTAGTGATGGATGATTAAGTTGAGAAAATCTGTTAGAAAGAAGAGAAAAAAAAAACCCAAAGATATGCAAAATATAAAATACTCAGACCAAGATTCCAATATCTAAATAATAAGAGGTCCAGAAAGGGAAATAAATCATCAAAGAAATAATTCAAGTAATCTACCTTTAAACATTTGAAATTGCAGAATTTTCAGAATTTACAGAATTAAAAAACCTACTCACTGAGAGGTTAGCAAAATGCATGAAAAGTAACCACATCAAGACATTCCATTATGAAATTTCATAATATTGAAAATGAAGATTCTGACAGCTTCTCCAGAGTGGGGGGAGGGAAACTCAGCTCAAACATAAAGGGTTAGGAGCCATAAAGGCTTCAACTACTCAGCAGCAAACCAGAAAGCTATACATTCTTCAAAGAAGACTTAGACATATGTGAACAGTTAGGGAGTGTTAAACGGAATTTACACAGGCATACAAATAAACATGTGGCATACCAGTCTCATCAGAATGATGGCATAACTATGTTGGGAGGATTGAACAACAGAAGGATGTTACTGAGGTTTGTGGGGGAAGGGGAAGAAAAAAGAGCTACATTTTCATTTTTCAGGTGTGAAATCAATAACTAATACCAAAAACTAAAATCAAGAAGCAGTAATATAATCATATTATTTATCATCTACCTGAAAGTAATTAGCAAATAATCAGCTTAAAGGTGTGAAAGTGGTTGCCTGTGGACAGACCAAATGAGAGGAGGTGCGGAGGCAGGGGGAGCGGCAGACTTCTCTTCCTAATAAAGCTTGTAGATCTACTAGATTCATCAAACATGCACACGTACACCTTGAGTATGAAAGACTCATTTGTGTTTGCTAAATTAAATCTAAGTTCTATAACCCTTGGAAATGTAAAAGTAATGAAAAACAGGAGTTAATGGGTAGAAGTAGATGTGGAGGCAGATATAGGGGCAGTAAATCCCTTATCTTACACAGTACGAAATCAAGGGGCACTGTCAAAAATGTACGAGTCAACAAATAGAATTTTTATGAAGCTAAATAACAAAAGAATTTTTTTCATGAGCTTGGTAGGGACTGGAAGTGGGGAGAGAAGATAAGTGAGCTAAATTTCTCTCCTGTCATAGAGGGGAATCAAAAGCTATTTTTAAATTGACATATTAACAAATAAAGTATATGCATATTATTTAAGACTTGGATTTAAGCTCCAGAAAAACTAACCATAAAATGGTTAAAAATAATCACTTCTGGTGAGTGAAGGAAAGTATATTGAACCCTACTTTTCATTTAGCATCCTCTTTGGTGTTTGAATTTGTATTATGGCACATATTGTTGGTATAATAATTAAATAGACAAATAAAAATAAATCTATTAATAAATACTGGGTGGGTCAAAAGGTTCCTTCGTTTTTTTTCCGTAAGATGGCCCTAGTAGTGCTTAGTTGTCTTTAACTTCATTCGAAACAATTTTGTTAGATTGTATGTAACAGCTGTCATATCAGCATGAATTTTTTTAAAAAAATCAAAATTGGTGAATTTTTGTGTAGCCATTTTAATATTGAAGATGGAAGAAAAAAGCAATATTTTAGGCATATTATGCTTTATTATTTCAAGAAAGGGAAAAACGCAACTGAAATGCACAAAAAGATTTGTGCAGTGTATGGAGAAAGTGCTGTGACTGACTGAACGTGTCAAAAGTGGTTTGCGAAGTTTTGTGCTGGAGATTTCTCACTGGACAATGTTCCACAGTCGCGTAGACCAGCTGAAGTTGATAGCGATCAAATTGAAACGATAATTGAGAACAATCATCGCTATACCACGCGGCAGATAGCCAACATAATCAAAATATCCAAATCAAGCATTGAAAATCATTTGCACCAGCTTGGTTATGGGAATCGCTTTGATGTTTGGGTTCCACATATTAAAGTTAAGCGAAAATACCTTCTTGACCATATTTCCTCATGCAATTCTCTACTGAAACATAATGAAAACATTCCGTTTTTAAAACAAATTGTGACGGGCGATGAAAAGTGGATACTGTACAAGAATGTGGAACGGAAGAGATCGTGGGGCAAGCGAAATGAGCCACCACCAACTACATTAAAGGCCGGTCTTCATCCAAAGTAGGTGATGTATATATGGTGGGATTGGAAGGGAGTCCTCTATTATGAGCTCCTTCCAGAAAACCAAACGATTAATTCCAACAAGTACTGCTCCCAATTAGACCAACTGAAAGCGGCACTTGACGAAAAGTGTCCAGAATTAGTCAACAGAAAATGCGTAATCTTCCATCAGGATAATGCAAGACCGCGTGTTTCTTTGATGACCAGGCAAAAGCTGTTACAGCTTGGCTGGGAAGTTCTGATTCATCCGCTGTATTCACCAGACATTGCACCTTTGGATTTCCATTTAGTTTGGTCTTTACAAAATTCTCTTAGTGGAAAAATTTCAATTCCCTGGAAGACTGTAAAAGGCACCTGGAACAGTTCTTTGCTCAAAAAGAGAAAAAGTTTTGGGAAGATGGAATTATGAAGTTGCCTGAAAAATGGCAGAAGGTAGTGGAACAAAAGGGTGAATATGTTGTTCAATAAAGTTCTTGGTGAAAATGAAAAATGTTTCTTTTATTTTTACTTAAAAAACCGAAGGCACTTTTTGGCTCTCCCAGTAATAGAGCAGATGATCACATCCTATCTAGTTTTATGTCTAGATTTTCACATATGTTTATTTGAATAATATTTTATAAAGAGACAGCAATTTTTGTTTCACAGCTGGTCTGTAGCATAAAAGATACAAATGCTGATTTATGATATTTTAGTCTGGTTTTTATTTTTAATCCACTATGTAAGTACAAAGATTGGTAAACTACTGTCTGGTCAAAATATGTTGATGCCAGGGTGTATACTTAATAAAATAATTCTATAAAAAGGATCCTTCACATCTAGAACCAGAAAATCTCACACAGTAATTCACTGTAATTTACCTCCTCAAAGCACTGCAGGCCTATATAACCCTCCAAAGGGAGATACTGCAGTTTTACACACAGTGAATACTTCCATTGTCCTAATGCTACCCTTGTCCTACTTCTATGCTTATAAACATGGCACTATTTTTACCTTGAATAATGCATGGCTTGGTGGCCTGCAATATTAAAATAGAAGTCTGTTGTGTGCTTCATCTCATTGGTGTGCCCAGTGGCTTCGATCCAGTGTCCTATTGGGAGACAATAAACACCATCCACCAAGTTGTTTTCATTATAAATACAGCAACGGTCATGGTGAGGCCCATTGCCTAGAACAAGAAGAAATGACAAACAAAGCAATTACATCAATGTTTTGCTTAAACAGCCAGAGTTGCTGATGCAAAATTAATAGTAAGATGAAAATAAATACAAAGCTGCATAATCTACACATTTCAGTATAAACAAAAATAGACTAGAGTAATAGGGAACACAGTAAAAATTTGTAGTTACTTATGAATTTCATAGAGTTCAATGTTCCCTTTGAATACATGAATATTTCCAAAAGCATATTAACTCAGAATTTCTTGGGACCTTTCAGTGCCCTTAAGAGCCTGTTGTGAGTCATTTTGTAGCCTGATAAGCTGCTGAAAAGGGTTTTTAAAGCCATTAATGTCCCTGTGCTGCACACTTTTATCTTCCTGGTATGCAAATTTATGACTAAAATCAGTAATAAAGTGTTTCAGTATCAGCTTAAGCAATCAATTTTAAAAAACACATTAATAAATAATAAAACAAATATCACATCCAATCCAGTTTGCATGTAAATCAGTGGTTAGTATTATCTTCAAATAGGAAAACTAAGTATCACAGAGATTAACTAGCTTGTCCAGGGTCACAGAACTAATAAGTACAGAGCTATCAGTAAACTGATACCCCTAGACCCCAACTTTCAGGCACCTGACACCTTCATGCTGTTTTCCGCCTACTTCACAAGCACCAAGACACACATCCTCTTTCCAGTGAGTGGAGCAAAAGAGGCAGAGACAGAACATGTCTCTGAAAACACTACTTGCCGATATCACAATTCTGCCCAGTATCAACTACGCTAGTAAACAGACCTTTTATTTCTATGAAAATTGTAATTCGTACATTATTTTTATTAGCCCTTCTTATGTGACCACCCCATTTCAAATAATTCTTTTCCTTAAATTACCTAATTTCCATATATTGTCATTTATTAGAAAAACATGTAAGCAAAATAAAATGGGAAAAGTCACATTTATTATGAATATGAAAATTCGACTCATTTGTTCCTTGCTCTATCTTACAAAACATTTTACCTAAGGTTATTTGGCATAAAATCTATTTTAAAAAATCCTTAAGTCATTGGGCATTTCTTTAGAATGTAACTCCTTTCCATCACATAGAAGGTACAGGATGGTTCCTTTAATACATCATCATTGATCTTCCCAGCTCAGACTCCTCTTTTTCTCTTGATGGCTACAAGGCACTACACCTTGTAACTGCCCTATTAACCTTGATATTTAATAGATGAAAATCAAACTATACTAGCAATTTCACTTCTAGAAGTATATCCAACAGAAATACAAGATTAAAGAAAGATACATGGATGCATACATGTGTGTGGCAATACTATTTTAATAGCAATACTGTAAACTACGTAAGTTCATCTATATATTTTTCCACAAATATTTATTGAATGTTGACTATATGACAGGCATTATACTAAGTCATGTTAAAGATTCAGGTATTTCCCATAAGAGCAATGAAACATTAAAATATTTTAAGCAGACAGGCGACATGACCACATTTTTATTTTGAAAATATCTCTCTGGTTATAGAGTAAAATATTAATTCAAGCACAATGAGATTAGAAATAGAAAGTCCATTTAGGAAAATACTGCATTAACCCAGGAAAGAGATGGTAAAAGCTTGGATGTAGAAATGGAATGGAGTGGGAAGATTCAGGAGGGAAAAGCCACAGGACTTGGTGATTAATTTGATATGGGAGGTGAAGAAAAAAGGGAACCAATAATGACTCCTAGGCTTCTGGCAACTACAACTCAATATACAGTGGTACCAGTCACTGAGATGTGAAATCTGGAAGAGTTGGAAGGAAAGATCATCAATCTGGTTTTGGCATTTGGGGCTTGAAGTGCTATTTAGATACAAAAGGAGATGTCAAGTAGAGAGTTAGTTATTGATTTGACACTCAGATCAGAGATCTAAACTAGAAAAATAAGTTTATGAGTCATCTAAGTATAGATGGTAATTGAGACAAGGATATAGGTGAGTCACAAAGAAAAACAATACTTTATACATTGTTTTTTAAAAATTTTTATTTATTTATTTATTTTTGGCTGTGTTGGGTCTTCATTGCTGCACAAGGGCTTTTCTCTAGTTGCGGCAAGTGGGGACTACTCTTCGTTGCGGTGCATGGGCTTCTCACTGCGGTGGCTTCTCTTGTTGCGGATCATGGGCTCTAGGTGTGCGGGCTTCAGTAGTTTTGGCTCACGGGCTCTACAGCACAGGCTCAGTAGTTGTGGCGCACGGGCTTAGTTGCTCTGTGTCATGTGGGATCTTCCTGGACCAGGGCTTAAACTCATGTCCCCTGCATTGGCAGGCAGATTCTTAACCTCTCCGCCACCAGGTAAGCCCCGAAAAACAACATTGATTGAGAAGAAAAGCCTTCTAGAACCAAGTTTAAAAGCATCTCAACATTTAAAAGCTGGACAGAGGGATGAGCTTACAAAGGAGGCACAGAAAGAGAAGCTGGAGAGGAAAACTAGAAGTGAGTAAATGAGGTGGGGGAGCATGATTGGAACTGTAAACATAGACTAAAAACTTGATGGATGCATGTCTAACTGTTAACAGTAGTTACATCTGAAGAATGTAATTGGGATGGAAGGACTACTTTCAACTATTTTGAATCCATTGGATTTGCTACAAAGGGAAGGTATTACTTTTTAGTAATAAAAGAATAATATCTATGGCTCCTACTGTTCAGTATGAGACTTACAACAATTTAAATGTTGTAACTTAAATAAATTTAATTATCAAGGAGCTCAAATATACATAAATTACACGGTTCAAGCAAAAGTATGTATGTAACATTGACTTCCTAAGAATACTTCATTCCTAGAATTAGTTTTCTGAATTATTCATTTTTACACATGCATGTTTTAGGAGAAGTAACAAGACACATCTATCTCTCTCAGCCAGGGAGGTATCAGTGCAGGTGTAGGGGAGAGCAGGAACTCCCACCCCATTCAGTAGTAATAAGGAGTCCAATCCCTTCAGCTCTCAATGCAGATTGGGTGAGGAACCTGGGTAATGAGGTGGTACCCCCACTCTCCTGCTGGAGCAGCATCAGAGGAACCCAGTTAAACCAAAAGGGGTTTGATAAGATGTACAGTCTCATTATATAATACTCAGAATGTTGAGGTTTCAATACAAAGTCACTCATTATATCAAGAATCACAATGATCTCAAACTGAATGAAAAAAGAAAAGCTCAAAAGATGCTAACATCAAGATGACAGAGATGTTAGAACTATCTGACAAAGATTTTAAGCTTCAACAATCCACTGAACACATTTGAAACAAATGAAAAATCACAAAGTCTCAGCAAAGAAATAGAAGATGGAAATAAGAACTAAATGGAATTTTAGAACTGAAAAATATCAGTATTAACAATTGAAATAATAACTTCAGGGGATAGGCTCAAGAGCAGAATGGAGGGGACAAAGGAAAGAATTAGCAAGCTGAAAGATAGAACAGAAATTACCCAATCTAAGCAACAGAGAGAAAACAGATTTAAAAAAAAAAAAAAAAAAAAGAACAGAGACTTAGGGACCTGTGAGACTATAACAAAAGATGTAACATTCCAGTAATTGGAGTCCTAAAAAGAGATGAGAAAGAGGGTATGGTGGAAAAATATTTGAGAAAAATAATGTCTCAAAACTTTCCAAATTTGCCAATAAGCATAAATCTACAGGTTCAGGAAGTTGCACAAACTCCAAACAGGGTAAACAAAAAGAAATCCATGCCACAACACATCATAATTAAATTTCTGAAAACTAAACGCAAAGAAAAATCTTGAAAGTAGCAAGAGAAAAATAACAATTTAGGAAAACAACCATTCTAATGTCAGTAGGCTTCTCAAAAAAAATGGCTAAACAGAAGATCTCTATGAACAGAAAGGAAATTGTTGAACATCAGGAAAGAAGAACACGGTAAGAAGATATGAGTAAATACAATAGACTCTCTTTCTCCTCGTGAGTTTCTAATAAAAATTACAATGCTCTCTGATGTGGCCCTACATGGATGTAGTGGAAATATTTAAGGCAGTTATATGGAGAAGGGCAAAGAAATAAAGAGGGAAATAAGATTCCTCCAATTCATTTAAACTGTCAAAACGATGAAACCAGTTAACTATGACAAGTTATGTTTGTATAATGTAGGTAAATCAAAACGGAATTCTAAAAAATGTTTAAGTATGAACCATATTGCCATAAGAAGGCAGAGAAAGGAAACAGAGAGAGAAAAAAAGAAACCTCAGAAACAAAAAATAAAATAGCAAACTTAAGTCCTAACATACCGATAATGTCGTTAAATGTAAACTGTCTAAATAAATACACATTAAAATACAGAGATTGTCAGAATAGATTTTTTTTTAGTGAACCAGCTATTTGCTGCCCAGAAGAAACTCACTTCAAATTATACAGGTAAGTGGAAAGTAAAAGTGTAGAAAAAAATGCACCATGCAAACATTAATTAAAAGAAAGCAGAAATGGTTATATTATTATCATGTAAAGTAGAACCTCAGAGCAAAGAAAATCAGAGATAGGGAGGGAAACTGTATGGTGCCAAAAGTATCAGTCCAACATGGATGGACCTTGAAGGCATTATGCTAAATGAAATAAACCAGACAGAGAAAGACAAGTACTATATGATCTCACTTAAATGTGGAATCTACAAAACAAAACACAGAAGAAGTGTTAAGATGTCTTTCAGTGATTGAATGATTTAACAAATTGTGGTACATCGGATACCATAATTTAGCCAGAAAAAGGAATGGCCTATTGATAATGCAATAACCTAGGTGAATCTCCAAAAACTTATGCTGAGTGAAAAAAATGCCAATTCCACATACTGTATAATGCCACTTATATAACATTCTTGAAATCAAAAATAAAAATTATAGAGATGGAGAACAGTTTAGTGGTTGCCCGGGGTTAGAGGTTGGGGAAGGAAGAAAGTAGGTGAGGCTAGAAAACAGGAACATGGGAGATCCCTGTGGTGATGAA